TACTGCACTATTAAATGTAACTGACAACATTCTTCAGGCAACAGATAACGGCACAATGATCCCCACAACCCTGACAAGTCAAATTTTATTCCTTTCGACGTAGAAAAAGTATTTCACATAGCATAGATGAAATAAACTGGTTGAATATGGAAGATGGACGAGAACAGCATAGCGCATAGTTTTATCATAAGGCTGTGACCATGAAAACTCCTTCAAATTTATATAGCAAAGTTACCTTTCGTCAAGATATATATACGTACAAAGCAAACATAAGGTCGAAAACTACAATCAAACCACCAGCTCATCCTACTGCCCTCTTTGAAAGATAATTTTCTTATATCTCCAAACCATATAATGCTGTCCCTCCAAACTCAATCCAAATAGCTAGATTCTTTCACAAAATACTACTCCAGGTTTCTGAGGTCTCGCTAAAGTAATATGCCATGTTAAATATCCATCACCTATATGTATGTATATGATTTTCCTATTTCCTTTTTAATTGAATTCTGTCAATCTTTCCTTTTTTTTATTCGTATCAAGTGCGTTATGTAGGGTTAAGTGGAAGACCATCTATTCACCTAGGCTGAAAGCTGAACATCGAATTTTCTGGATAGCAATTTTATATCCTTGTACCTTGCTATCAATGAATAAAAATGATTATTATTATTATATATTGAGATCAATTTCCTAAAGGACGTATCTGGAAATCGGTTTTCCTTAAAAAATACTTGAACAACACTTCAATGAAATATGACAATCAATGAAATTTACTTGAAAAAGGCCACAGTGGTGGCCAAAACATCAGAGTAATTCAAGTATCATATGTAGTTTCATTCAGAGGCCGGAGAGTCATCGAGTCCTATCAGCACGAAACCCACACGGTAAGTCACATATTATATTAGTTTCAACGAATTCGGACTAGGTGGAAGGAACAAGAAAATGATTTGCTTGTTATCAAAATTATTTAGTAGTCAGGATGTAAGTCCATACTTCATTGCATTACTTTGAATATTGCATTTATTTCTCCGAAACTAATCTCCTTCACACTAATGCAAAACGAATGACATACTTTACACTACTTCCATGCGGGCAGATCGCGGGCTTAGGCTAGTACTAAATAAGAGGAAATGTTTTGTTCGATAAGTGAGAGAGATATTATATAGGCTTCGGCGTTGCAAAAGGGCATGCACCTCGACGTTGGACAGTTGTAACATAATTTTGATTTATTTCACTTCAAGCCAGATTTTTTATGGATACTGAAAAAAGCCACTTTAATCCACCTAAACTAAAATTCAATTTTATCTACTTTAATTTTGAATCCAAAAGGTTCTTAATAAGAAAGTTTTGAGTTATAGGTAGTAAATTTACAATCTCATTTTAGTGCCACGAGATTCTATGAAGGAAACTCAGTGCGCACTGAAAGCTAGCAATAATATCTAATTAAAATACTTAAAAATCTTTTTATTGGATAAATATAGCGACAATGATATAATAGCAGGAATTCCCCCGTTATGCTCAACTAGGTTTGTTTGCTTTTAGCCAAGAATCTGCTTGAATCACAACTATTTAAACAAACCGATTAAAATTCGAGAAAGATGTTCCACTATTTCCAAGATCAGGTACTTCCTTATTGTTCTGTATTGCTCACCTTCCAAAATCAGAAATTAAGCAGAATTGTTCATATCCTGTACCGTTAATGAATAATATTTGCTTTCGTTTCCTTATTTAATATCACCCTGTTTATCAACAATAACTGAGATATTCATATCGAAATACAGACGGTATTTCTGCCTTCCTCTAAGCGAGTACACTTGGTATGAATAGCTACTTGAATATCCTTTCCAGAGAAAAGAATGTCCGCCGATGAATAGGTTTATCCATTTGGTATGCAATTGCATTTAGTCAAAAGTGTACATTAAAATTGCACCATTTTGGTGACAAACAATGCAATGTAAACATATAGGCTTAGCTTCTTCTAGTCTATTCGAATTCGTTAATTAGCAAAGTAAATATTTGAGACCTCGCATGGTGGCGTCCATGGGAAATACTCGATTCACTAAGATTACTAGTGACAAACTACTAGCTTAGGATAAATTAGGAAAAAGTTGCGTTCTTTGAGGCGTATTTACATCTCGTTGAGAGACGTGTCAAAATCTCATGGCTTACTGAGATAATTGGCTAAAACTAAAATTTGGTCAAATCATTTGTATTTATTTTAAGAGATATAAAAAAATAATGAAACTTTTCCAGTGGCACTTTTTAGGCCCTACATGATGATGTTTTTAAGTTTTGTGCCAGACGGCTTGTTTTTGAGAAACTATTAACTTTATTTTTTTTCGATTTTTTAAATTTTTTTTTGTGTTGCAGACAAATGCCGATTATTATTATTATTATTGTGTGTTGTTAATATTGCTTTCTAACCGTCAAAGATGAAAGGCGGTCATTTTAGCAATGAATAAAAGTTTGACGTGCCACATATTGGGGGTTAGATGGTAGAATAGATATATTATCTAAACCTCGCCTCCTGTGATACTATTACAGATAAAAAGACGGCAATTATTATTATGATATCAAAATTCTGCAAAAATGTAACTTGATAAATTTTCTGAAAGGAGGCAGCTAAGTAGGTCTATTTTCTTTAGAGGAAACTCAGAATAGTGTTTTGCAAGCACTTGCTGAGAACTCTGAGATATCAATTAGGCAAGTTGAGAAAAATGTAGGAATAACCAAATCCACAGCCCAATTTATTTTGCGTGAAAATAGATATTATCCCTATAAATTCAGGATCTGCCAAGGACTTAGATCAGGGGACAGTGAATGACGCCAGCATTTTTGTCATGGTACACACGAACGTGTGAGGAAGATTTCAATTTTCCTTCAAAAATAATATGGTCCGACGAGGACATGGTCACTAGTAATATTATTTTCAATCGCCGCAACATAAGTTATTGGGCTCAAGAAAATCTGCGGGTGAAAAGAGTACCCAGACATCAAGAACGTTTTGGGTTTAATATGTGGTGTGAAATGCTAGAGACCAAAATATTAGGTCCATTTATTCACCACAACTCATTAAGTGCAGAATGGTACCTTCAATTGTTGCAACATGATCCAGAAGACTGCCTGGATAATTTACCTTCGGCACAGGTTAATAGCTATTAGTTCCAACAGGACGGTACTCCTGCACATAACTGTAGATAAGGTCGAGGCTATCTTTCTCAGCGGTTTCCGGGAAGACGGATTGGAACCTCCAGTGTAGTGTCCTGGTCAGAGCGTTCCGCGGATTTAACTCCTCTGGACTTTTTTGTTTGGGGTTTTATTAAAAACCAAGTTTATCTGCATACTTTTGAAACTGCGCAGAATCTACAAGAATGTGTAATAGAAGCATATAGTAAGCTTACAAGAAATGTTACGTGATGGTTTCCGAGGGTGAATCAAATATGAACCGGACTTGTGTCTTAGTAGTTTTATCGGTATAGTAAATGCACTCCTCTCTTATTGATGCATTTTTCCCATCGGATCAGAAGTTTTTTGATTCCCTTATCGAAGAATCAAGCTGGTCGTGACAGCAGCCATTGTGCATGACCCTTCCCACACCTTCGTCGTCGTCTGATTGGTCTTCTGTAAGTGGCCCAAACATGTGATAGTTACATGGCATCGACGCAAAATTTCGGAAGGTTTTACGACAATAAGTTTATGATAAGACGTTGCTCAACAGACGTGTGCACGTCTTGCTCAGACAAGATGCTACTAACAGCTCATCTACTTCGGCGCGCCAAACCGACTGACTCCCCTCTTCCTGACATCCCCACCCAACATATATCAAGACTGCATTCACCTATCGCGCACGAAAATAGAAGATCAAATTTATGTTTAGAAAATAATGACAACCTACTTGAGCACCTGTTGTGAATAAAATAAAAATAATGTTAATAATGTCAGAAATATATTCGTTATTTTGAAAAAGCATCACTTTCTAAAATTTTATACCATCATATTATGTTAAGAAAACAAATGTAACATTTGGTACATTGTTGAATCCGTGGAAAAAGTTGCTATCAGATTCAAGGTGTACTTTTTTATCGGACCATATATAAAGAAATAAAGTTGATGGTGGTTTATCAAAAAGTCGGACACGAAATTTAAAAACACCATCCAACACAGTGCCTAAAACATGTGAATGGAAAAGTTCCATAATTTTTTTGATATTTCTTATAATAATGTCGGACAAAAATAAAAACTATCTGTCCAAATCTTAGTTTTTCCCAGATACCACAGTAAGTCATGAAATTGTAGACATTCCTCAACGGCATGTAATTACGCTCCAAACAACGCAGCTTTTTCTTAATTTTAAAGCTGTAGCTGTATCCCTCACAGATTATTTTGGATTACTACCTTTTACATCTTGTATAATGAATAGTTTGAATATGATACTTCTGAAATACTAACTCTATCTAAATAAATTAATTTTTATTTGATTTCGACAAAATTTGATTTTATGAGAAAGTGGTCTGTTCCTATAGATTTATATTGAAGTCTACCACAAATCTGAACCTCAAGTGATTTAAAATGTTACATCCCCAGATTTTTGGTAGCTGACTCTGAATTTGTTACCAATTGCTATTTGACTTTCAATGGGCAAACTATTCTTATTAGGGATCGCATATCAAGAGAAGTTGCGTATTTTTAAATATTATCGAGTTGCCATACAAAATTAGAATTAACTTACTGTATCGATGCTGTTTATTAGTTTGATATATTCTTGGATAGGCGGCCCCCTTTTTTCTCCTTTCATAACGTTGACGAATGTTGATGGCATTTCCACCACAGCTGCTACATAATAATCATCAGCCTGAAAGTACATAGAAAATCTTTGTAAGGAAAGGCGTACAAGTAAAAAAAAATGTAACGTGTAAAGAAGAATACTTATAAGTGAAAAGTAAATGTCACTAGAACATTTTTGTGTTAGTTCATGATAAAACTAGTTTTATTTTTTACTCTAGGTATTGATTAATAAAAATTTGGGAACTAGTATCTATTTTGAAAGTTATGACTTGTTTCACCACAAAAACCTCACAATACATCAACGACTATGCTATAATTGTTGAGGTAAGAGTGCCCTTACGAATGAGCTAGATTGTAAATAAGTAGTGTGAAAAATAAGTGCACAATTTTCATCTATCTATTTCAATTCAGTTATAACCAACAGCGCATGAAAAGCGGGATAAGAATAATCGTATACAGTGCTAATCAAAAAGGTCCCCCCTCTTATTTTTTGGAAGGGTAAGTTAGCGAGCAATAATAGATATGTGTGATGAAACTGTTGCATGAAAACTATATCTCAGGATCAAACATGAAGGAAGGCTGCGAAGAACGTTGACATACTCTGAGAACCAAATTTGTCTGACGACTTGAGTTCAATGTGTACGAGAGAGACGTATGTATAGACACATGTGTTAGAAAGAGATAGAAGCCGGCCATCGCCGCGTTGCCTAGCAATACTACCGCGTTGCCTAGATGTTACACCAATTAAGATAGATTTTGAAAATATGCGTTAGTATATTCTCTACCCCCAAATAATCGTTTTATTTTAAGCGTACACATTTTTGAATTGTGAATTGTGCTTAATCTGTTTAGGATCGATTCCGCATCGGTCCGAGCGGTGCTCCATTTTAGGACGAAATGAAAGGTCAAGATCGCTACAAATTTTGTATTGCATCATTCGTTCGCTTGACAACACCGCATCTCGTACATTCCAAGCTAAGGCTTCTACCTCCATGATCACGGATGAGCGATTTTCGTCAGTACCCATCAAGTGCTCATTGGGGAGTGTCAATCTGCTTTGAACTGGTTTTCACCTGCTTACATGCAGGCAGTGATCGTTATATAAATAAATAATTCTAATCAAAAGTAAAACAAAATATTAAGTTAAATATTCGAACAGTCCTTCTTCTTAAGTTTGACAGTTACTTAACCTGCTGTAGAAGCCTGTGCGAACATTCTCTGGTGTAACATATTGGCAACGCAGCAGATACCAGGACCTTCTGCCTCACCGTCTCTAAACAATGTGGCTTCCATCTCGTTCTAACATCTGTTGATACACACTTCTCGCGCTTCTATCTCATACACATTGAACTCAAGACGTCAGACTAATTTGGTTTTCCCTGTAAAATTAGTAGAGCATTTTGCATACGCTCAACTTTGACAGCCTTCCAGTCTGAGATTTTGAACAATAGGGCTATAATGACTCATAAGGAACTTTAAGATAATATACATCATGACCTCCCATTTAAGAAATTCTCCAAGATGGCGTCCAATCGTCACTATGAAATTTACAGCTGCTGGTTTTCTGCTAAACTATAGTTTTCATGCATATACTTCACCACCCCGAACTTCATCTTGCTAACTTGACTTGTTAAAAAAATAAGTAAGGTGCCTCTTTACGATTCTTAGGATCGTACTTATTTCATTGGTATTAGTCTAATCATATAAGCAAATTTCCCCGAAATAATTGTAAAGTTTGATTTTATTGATGCAAGTTGTTCAAGGGGCATTTAAAACATGGACGCATAAAATGGGTACACCAATTTCCAAACCAGCGAATGTTCGTCTAATCTGATTAGACTAATTAGGTAATATGTCTGGGATATTTGCTATTTGTACTTACACTTAGTGCTGTTTTAAGAACAGAAATGAGAACAAAGCAAAAACAATTGATCATTTTGATTTTGATACGATTTAGCCGACTTCTATCTGAAGTGTCGCTACACAAACTAAATGGCTATTGGAACTGAAATAGTATAACGATAATTTATATATTTTATTTGCTTGTTCATACGAGACAATCAGTGTTATCCTATTTTTTTTCTGTCTGCAACTGATAACGTTTGTTAGACGAATTAATTAAGTACTTCCAAATTCTATGCTTTCCACTAACAATGTCCACTTCAAATGTGCTCATAGATTGTCTCCTGTTTCAATATATTTCACGATTTAGTTTACGTGCAATGAATAACCAATGGCTTTGTTGCAACTTCAAAAAAATGGCGTGAAGTAGCTTGACTCTGAACTTCCCACGCAATCCTGTTCGGTTCCGTTTATTGAAAAACCTAACATAGACGATATTAAATACCTGTGAGCCATAATGTAGTTTGTAAAGTCAACTCACGAGGAGTAGAATTTCAACATATTGAGTATTGAGATTTGAATGGTTTTCATCATTCTTTATATGCATTGCAGTAGTAGCTGCTAAAGCAAAAGTGACACATTGATTGAAAACGTTCATTTCACTATGGGTGTTCTGTCAATGTTAGTAATTTATGAAGGGGGATGCCTTTTTAAGATGTTCCTTTTTCATAACTGAATGTGACTTTGTTATTTTTTTATAAAGTGCATTCTTTCACACGGAGACTACGCAATACACAATAAACAGTTGTTCTGGAAAATTTTCATTACTCATAATACATTTTTTAATTATTCTGGGAAACTAAATTATTCGGTTGAATTGATCTCAATTTTCTTTTCACTTTAATTGCGTGTTTTATTAAACTGTTTAATTAGTTAGGTAACTTAGTTTATGGAAAAGGGTGCATTGAAACCGAATAAACACTATTATAAAAACACTTAAACTGCTTATTGGAATCGTGGACACTTCTTTCGTGAGTGATCCGGAGTATCCGACAGACGCAATGCCGGTGACGCGCTTCGAACCCCTCAGCTTCGTTTGTGATTTTCACGAGGAGCTTCTTATCAGGATGTTGATGTTGTTGGTGTACTAGCTGTGAAGTGGGTCAATTATGGTGATCAAGTGAAATACTCGAGCATATGGTGCTTAGTGACCCATTATCCTGGTTAGAATATTTCTTGCTCCCGGTGAAACAGTCTGTAGATATAGGGAAGTCACCGCATACGTGACGATATGGAAAGAACTTTGAAATTCTATTTATGACATCATATTGAGATCAAAGAAGGGTATTTATGCCAAACATGTGCTTTACATATGCTTGATGTGCTTTTCTGTTATATTACATAATGTATACCGGCTGTTTCAAATTCGACACTCACCATTGGGATCTCGGAAACAGAAAGAGGTACGAAGTTGCTTAAATTTGGGCATAGTTGCTAGTTGCATATTTGGGTGACTAACAAAATGTCGCTTTGGAAAGCTTCAAAATGAAAAGTACTTTCGCAGAGAGGCGGAAAAAGCTGAATTTTCAAAACCGCTTTAGTTTTTTCCTGACTATATTTGTTGTGGGATTTAGAAATCAATTGCAGATTAACATTGTCACATTCATAACATAAGGATGAAATAATCAGAATTACAATATGACATTGATGGTTCCAAAAATGTATACGTTATATATTGACGGTGCCAAACCTTAGTCATTTCAAAAAATGCAGAATGCCCTAGGTTGACCTTGAAATTATCAGATAGTCATTTGTTTTGCATAAGAGCCGAAGAGTATGCGGGAGTCCACAGATCACTAAATTTCATAAACGGTTACTTGAGGAATAAAAGTACTTAAACAACTTCTCTAGACAATTGTATACCCTACAGTTTTTGTAGAAGGTATTTTATGAATTATTTCTTTTCCTTTCTTTAAAAAAGTGCTTTTGTTGTGAGAATTTTTGCAAACTTGCATTATGTTTTGCTGTATTTTGTCTTTGCTATAAATACTTATATGCATCCTTACTCGTATCTATGTATTGTTTTCATTAATAAATGAAAATATTATGGTTACACTCATATAGCGCAGAGCACTATGAATTGTAGGAGATTTTCTTTGGATTATCCAATATAGAGCCCTGAGGAGAAAAGATACACGGTGACAAAGTGCGGATTCGGAAAGCGTACCTACATATCTAAATCTATAAGGACATCATCATTTTCAAACTTCCCCAAAACTTTTCACAAATGATTGAACTACATCCGTTGATGTACTACAGCTCTTCATGACAAACGTCGTAAAATATAGGGCAACGGCTGTAATAAAAATCTCGTATGCGAGAAAGGCAAGACCTTGGAAGAATTGAACCTCATTCCCCTCTAGCGAAGGCAGGCGACGAGTTACCCTTATTTGCGGGGATGAAACATTCTTATAAGTTGGAAAACTTCGGCTGCTGAGGGTTGTTTGAGGTAGGTCGGGAAAGCGCCGTGGGAAAAATATCACAACATCGAAAATGAATAATGTCTCGAGACTGTCTGCTGCTACCGCCACCCCCACCGCCAGGTTATTATCTTTTCCTTTTGTGGGTTTCCTTCTGAGAGGGAAGATTGTCTCTAATGTTATCGTGCTTACTACCAGAGGATATAAAAGTGTATATAGTATATGACAATTGTTTTAGAAGACGAAATGTCGGAATGAGAGTAACAGCTGGTAAATAAAAAATGGCGTCAAGTAGGTTGACGGCATCAGTTCATAGATGATTATGTTTGACACAGTATAACAGAAAAACTGAATCGATCAAGCCATTCTTAGGATTTGAACCCCCCGGAGTTATAGCATATTATACTTATCCCGATAATAATTTCTCTTCGTCGATATGTATTCGTTGTTTTTCTACTATTACTTGAACTTTCATCATAAAGCCAATAATAGTTTTATAGAATATGTAAAACGATTTGTGCCTAGTTTGTTCTAGAGTGATTTGGAAAACAAGTTTCTCATATTTTTACCACTGTGTTCTTCGAAGCGATAAGAGATACGGATCGGTTGAATGGTGGCAAAGTTACATGTTATAGGAAATGTATTAGAAGAGTTTTGACACTCCCAGTATCTCCAGAGATACACGGAAAGGGAACGAATTTTCTTAAAATCGTTTATAATTTTTTTCTGAATTCATTTGCGATCGGATTTCAAATATTATAGCATGCCATAAATTAATATGAAAAAAAAATTGGGTAAGGCATCAAATTATCGTATAGTTATTTATTTCATAGAATACAAAGATGATAACATGTTACGCTTTGATACAAAGCTTCAAGTGCCTAACTTCATATAATTAGTTTA